GAAGTATGAGTATTCCAGAACACTTAATTGTACTCATGAGAAATCTGTGCCTGGACCAAGAAGCAGTTGTTCGAACAGAGCATGGGAACACTGAATGTTTTAAAATTAAGAAAGGTGTGCGCCAAGGTTGTAGTCTTTCACCATACTTACTCAACCTGTATGCTGAGCAAATAATCTGAGAAGCTGGGTTCTATGAAGAAAAACATAGCATTAAGATTGGAGGAAGACTCATTAACAACCTGCGATGTGCAGATGATGCAGCCTTACTTGCTGAAAGTGAAGAGGACATTTACTGATGAAGATCAAAGAGTACAGCCTTCGATATGGATTTCATCTCAATGTCAATAAAACAAAAATCCTCACCGCTGGACCAATAAACAACATCCTTATCAACGGAGAAAAGACTGAAGTTGTCAAGGACTTCATTCTTCTTGATGAACTATCAACACTCACGGAAGCAGTAGTCACGAGATCAGATGACGTATTGCATTAGGCAAATCTGCCCAGGAACTTTTTAACGTGTTGAAGAGCAAAGATGTCAGCTTGAGGACTAAGGTGCACCTGACCCAAGCCATGGTATTTTCAATAACCTAATATGGAAGCGAAAGCTGGACAGTGAATAAGGAAGATCGTAGAAGAATTGATGCCTTTGAATTAATGGTGTTGGAGGAGAATACTAAAAGTGCCATGGGCTGCCAAAAGAACCAATAGATCTGTTTTTCCAGAAGTGCAGCCAGAGTGCTCCTTAGAGACCAAGATGGCCAAACTTCACCTCTCATACTTTGGACATATTATCAGGAGGGAACAGTCACTGGAGAAGGATATCATGCTGGGTAAGATGGAGGGTCAGAGAAAAAGAGGAAGACCCCCATCGAGATGGATTGGCCAGGTGGCATCATTGATGGACTCAAGTGTGGCAGTGGTAATGAGGTTGGCCCGGGATCGGAAATTGTTTTGTTCTGCTGTGCATGGGGTCGCTATGAGTCGGTTCCGACTTGATTGCACCTAACAACAACAACAATTTCTTCAAGTATTTTCTCTGTCTTTCTAGAACTTCTCTACCTGGATGCTGACACATTTCATGTTGTCCTGTAGCATTCTAGGGTTGTGGTCCTATTTCTTCTCGCTCCCCTCTGTTATTCAGTCTGGGTCATATCCATGGATCTCTCTCTCAGTTCCCTGGGATCTTTTCCTTTCTGTCAGCCTGAATCTACTGTTGAGGTCCCTCTGCTGAGTTCTTCAGTTCAGTTCTTACAGAGACTCCATTTCTAGCTCCTTATTGGGAATCTTTGTTGGTGGTGTGGTGTTAGCCTTCCTCCCGTTCTTTTACTGTGGTCTGCTTTACTTCTGTGAACGCATTTAGAGCAGCCGCTGGCCGAGGTAGTTGCCAGTATACATTTTCCTGAGGCTGGGCCACACTTTCCTGGGGTTTTTTTGCATGTCTTATAAGTTTTGTTAACACTGGGTATGTTAGAAAATAGAGACTAGCAACTCCCAGTCCAACTGTGGTTTCTCCTGTATTTCTTTATTTAGTAACGTGCCTGTGCCAAGTCGGTGAGGTCCGTCTTCCCTACAGTGGGTGGCAGCCGGTCTCGCTGCTCAGCTTAGTTTGAATCTTCTTATGCTTAAGTCTGGCTCCCCAGCAGTCACCTCTGTGTCTGCCTAGTGGGGGTCAGAGCTGGAGCCAGTGTGTGGAGGGAGCCCAGCCATAGTCAAGGCTGTCAGAGTTTTCCCTGATTTTCCTTCCGGCATACTGCCGTCGGCCCTCCCAGTTGGCCATCTCCAACACTCCCACCTCTTCTGTGGCAGGGAAACTGCTGGTCCGTGGTCCTCTTCTGTTCTAACACCTGTCGTGTGTCGGGGATTTGGTGCTTCCCGCTGTGACTTTCTGGGGACTGGACTGTTAGCAGTGAGTCAGCCCTTTGAGCTCAGATGAATGAGTGGTTTCCTGATTGAGTTGTACTCATTGCTTCCCCCTGCTGGTGAAGGTTGGATGGTTCCTGGTTCCTCCTTGGTGCCAACATTTTAAGCCCATGTTCTAAGTTAGTATTGCTGCGTGATGTGGACACACATTTCCAACACCACAGGTGGTCGGTCCATTGGCCACCTCTCTGATGGTGTCCCATGCTTGGCAAGACAAGGAGTGCAAGTGGGGATCCATGCCATCACTGGTGATTTGAGGGTTTTTCCATACATTCAGAGCCATTTCTTCAAGTCCTCTTTAAATTGTCTATTCCAATCCATTGCCCATTTGTAATCAGGCTTGAGTGGGTTTTTTCCTCATCAATTTGTGGTTCCCAGAGTGTAAGGATTAGACAAGTATTGCTACAAGAGTTCCAGTTATCCATGCCCAGTTTTATCCCAAACAAAGCATGCTGAAGCAGATTGAAGCGTGTCTCTGAGATCAGTGAATGACTACACACACGTTCTCTCAGTCTCTTTAGGGTGGGTCCCTCTAAAAGTTCCAGTGAAAACACTGACATCTGAGGACATCTGCTGGGCACATTCACTTAGGGCCAAGTGGTCAGTTCAGAGGGTTATAGCAATTCCAGATGTCCTTGAGATTTTGCTCAAGGACAAGGACGATCATAGGAAATGGAAAAGTGCATTGGTGAGGAAAAGACCAGGGAAGTTGTGTCAGGGCCGTGTTCTCCTTCATGACAGAGCACATGTTCATCCTTCATGACAGAGCATGTGTTCATCCTTCATGACAGTGCACGTGTTCTCCTTCATGACAGAGCACGTGTTCATCCTTCATGAAAGTGCACGTGTTCTCCTTCATGACAGTGCATGTGTTCTCCTTCATGACAGTGCACGTGTTCTCCTTCATGACAGAACACGTGTTCATCCTTCATGACAGTGCACGTGTTCTTCATGACAATGCACGTGTTCATCCTTCATGACAGAGCACGTGTTCATCCTTCATGAAAGTGCACGTGTTCTTCATGACAGAGTACGTGTTCTCATTCATGGCAGAGCATGTGTTCATCCTTCATGACAGTGCACGTGTTCTCCTTCATGACAGAGCATGTGTTCATCCTTCATGAAAGTGCACGTGTTCTCCTTCATGACAGAGTACGTGTTCTCCTTCATGACAGAGCACGTGTTTATCCTTCATGAAAGTGCATGTATTCTCCTTCATGACAGAGTACGTGTTCTCCTTCATGACAGAGTACGTGTTCTCCTTCATGACAGAGTACGTGTTCTCATTCATGACAGAGCATGTGATCATCCTTCATGACAGTGCACGTGTTCTCCTTCATGGCAGAGCACTGTTCATTTTTCATGACAGAGCATGTGTTCTTCCTTCATGAAAGTGCACATGTTCTTCATGACAGAGTACGTGTTCTCATTCATGACAGAGCATGTGTTCATCCTTCATGACAGAGCATGTGTTCTCCTTCATGACAGTGCACATGTTCTCCTTCATGAAAGTGCACGTGTTCTCCTTCATGAAAGTGCACGTGTTTATCCTTCATGAAAGTGCATGTATTCTCCTTCATGACAGAGTACGTGTTCTCATTCATGACAGAGCATGTGTTCATCCTTCATGACAGTGCACGTGTTCAGTCTTCAGGAGGAGCCAGAGTTGTTCCACGAGGGTCAGTCTTCTTGTCTTCGTCTGTGAAGATCTTTCAGACTTGTTCCAAAGCCCCCTGTAGCTCGCTGTTCTTTCTGCTTCTTCAGGAACACGTTCTCTGTCAGTTGAGCTAGTGACAGGTAGAGAGGTGCCTCAAGTTGACTCTGATTTTCATGTCAGAGCAGAACACTGCATGGCCCTGTGTGACCCTTAGAGTCAGGAGCTTGTTCCCATGTTGAAGTCTATTGCTCAGCTCTCATGCCAGTCTATCTCACTGAGGGTCTCCACGGCCCTCCATGGCCCTCCACTTCACCACACTGGAAGTTCTCCAGTTATTGCTCCCTCTCGATGACGTGTCCAAAGCAGGCAAATAGGACAGTGTTCTGTTGTGATCCACCCTTAGGGTTGTCATGGACTTTCAGAAGATGACCAGGCCTTTCCTCCTAGTCTGTCTCAGTTTGAAAGCTCCTCTGAAATGGTCCCCTGTGGGTGGCCATGCTGGTGTTTAAAACAGCAATGTCATAGCTCCCAACATCCAACCGCACTCCCACACACTACCTACTCCACGAGTTCATGCCCACCACCCACCACACCACAGGGTGATGCAGGCGCCGTCTGCTCTCTCTCTGCTCTGCTTACCACCAGCCCAGCCTCTAAAGAGAGGCCTGAGCTGCTTAGTCACCTTGTGCTGCGTCCTGCTGGCCTTCACGAGCCTGTTGGACTCTAAGCTGACCTGTAGTAACCACTGTGCACACAGCTGCTGTCACCTGAGCCCTCCAGCTGCCCCATTCCTGTACCACACGCAGGGACCCCCACCCTGATCTGAGCAGGTGGCAAGGGGGATGCCTCACTCCTGGTTTTCTCTTTGGGGGCTCGGATAAGGTTTGAATGTGGATGTGGTATAAACTATAAAGTGAAATGGCACATTGGTAAATATTTTATTGGCACTGTTACACAAAGAAGTAGCCAGGTCTGTAGAACATTACCTTTATTGGGGGTTTTTCATCTGTTTTCAAGGTGGAGAAAATAAAAATTCTCCTGCGGACCGTTGACTTGATGGATATAAAGGTTGGGTCCGTGGAGGAGTTTCAGGGACAAGAGTACCTGGCCATCATCATTTCCACCGTAGGTATCCTTGATCGGGGTGGACTAGCCACTGTGTGCTGAGGTCCTTGGGGCCTTGCTGTGTCCGGGGCATCACTGACGCAGGCTAGTGACTCATGGGCCCAGTGGCAGCCAGACCGTGACTGTTGTGAGCTCTTTTTAAAAAAAATCCAAGATCAGGAAACAGGAAAGGAATCCCAAAAGCAATGATAAATGGCTGAGAGAAGGAGGGACAAGATGTGAAAGAGAGAGCTACAGTGTTAGCAAGAGGAAGTAGGAGCAGAGGGGGCACGATGAGGGTCGGGGTGCCGAGGTGATGAGGGTCGCCTCACCTCCTGCCCTCCGCCACCCACCTCAAGCCAAGTGGATTCTTAAAATTCCTCTTTGGATTGAAGATGAGTTAGAAAATTCAGGTCGACAAAGCAAATAAAATCCCCTATAGCCCCCGACCCCAGAGTAACCCGCCCTGCAGTGCTGGGAGCACAGACTCAAGTTGGGGTTGGATGTCTACTTCTTACTGGGCCCCAAACTTACCACACTGTGCTGTATTCCTCTCTGTGGGCTTTAGGTGCGATCAAATGAAGACAGATTTGAAGATGATAGGTTTTTTTTGGGTTTCTTGTCCAACTCGAAAAGATTTAACGTGGCAATCACCCGACCCAAAGCACTGCTGATTGTGCTGGGGAACCCACACGTCCTTGTCAGAGTGAGTCTGCGGAAGGGAGGGCTGGGGCCCCAAAGTCTTGTGCAGGGGAGGCGGTTGGGGGGCGTCTCCACTGGAGGTGGGATGCACACTTCACCTGTCCACCATCGCCCCACTCCCTGTCTCCTGCAGGACCCATGTTTTGGGGCTTTGCTAGAATACAGCATCACAAATGGTGTTTACACCGGCTGCGACCTCCCCCCCGAACTACAGTCTCTGCAAAGGTGAGCAGCAATGTTGGCTTCAGATGGGCCTGCCGTACCCAACCCTAGTCCTGCTGCCATCATAGCAGTCCTTCCCCTGTGGGCTCGTGCACGGGGTAGTAGGCAGGGGCTGTCCCTGTGGCCAGTCTCACGGTGACTGTTGGCTTTCCCCACCTGCTGCAGTGACTAGACGCCAGCCCTGCCCACCACCCACCCCCAAGTGTGGCAGTCCACCAGTGTGTGAGAAGAGACAGCACCCCGTCGCCGCCGTGGGTACATGTGTAATCACAGTGATCTGGTGACTCAACCCCTACTCCTGTCACCTGCTGGTTATGTCCCTAATAAAGGTTCGAGTGGACTTCTCAGGTTCCAGTGGTGAAGGGTGGGGACGCATTCCTGCCTGTCAAAGACATGGCCACAGCAGGTTCTGATGGACCAGCCTGGAGCAGGGTCTGTGAGCACAGAGTCCACAGAACATGCTGTTTGCCAAGAGGTGCCAGGGGGTAAGGGGCAGATGGCACAACTGCCATGCAGCCAGAACAGACCTATGGGATTATTAGGATCTCCCCCCAGAAGACCAGCTTCCCTGGAGACCTCACATCAGCCACTGCCTGGCACAACCATTGGACTCCAGGGTTGCGGGGTCCTGCCTCAACCTCCACCTCACCCAAGGATCTCAAACGGCAGTGGTCTAAGAATCACACACACATGAGAGCCCAGACATTAACCTCACTGTGACCACCTGGGCCAGCTCAGAGCTCCAGACTGCAGGATCGCTTCCAGACAGGCATGCAGCCCCAGGGGCCATCCCAGCCTCTTACTGGGTGACGGGAGACCCAAGGAGGGAAGGGAGCTTTCTACCCCTGGACCCCTGGCTGCCCACTCTGCAGACGTGGTATCTAAGGCTGGGTTCTCCAGAGGAGCAAAACCAGTGCAACTTACATAGTATATGTAGAGAGGGAGAGAGATGTCAACTTGTATATGTAGAGAGGGAGAGAGATGTCAACTTATATAGTATATGTAGAGAGGGAGAGAGA